CTTCTTCTTCTTCTTCTTCTTCTTCTTCTTCTTCTTCTTCTTCTTCTTCTTCTATCCCGTCTTTGGGGCAACCGTGGGGGCACCACTGCATCTGACAACAAGCTCTCGCCATTTCTCTCTGTCCTCTGCTTTCCTCAGATTGTCACCCATCGTCTTTCCTGTCCACTCTGTGATGTTGTCCTCCCATCTCCTTCTCTGCCTTCCTCTCTTTCTCTTTCCTTCTACAGTTTCTTTTTGGATTGTTTTGGCGAGTCCTGTGGATCTAACAGCGTTTACTAACAAGAAAAAACTTTAAGCAGCTGTTTTAGCAGCTATTTCTCAAAATAGCAATTTCCAATGTTTGACCCAATTTATTTTCTAGTGGCGTCGGTGGCCTAGTGGTTAGGCTACCAGACTCGTAATCGTGAGATTGTGGGTTCGGGGGTAAGAGCCTCAGCTCGGTTCGACGTTGTGTCCTTGAGAAAGGCACTTCACACGAAACTCCCATTTGGTTCTGTCTTTTCGGAGACGGACGTTAAACACGCAGGCCCCGCCTCTTAGATAACCCAACTCTGTTGATATGGGCGTTAAACCTATACCATTTCAGTGGGTGGTTGGCAGGTGCTCTGGTGTGGTTTGCTACTTCTTTCCTATCCAAATATCTATCGTCCAAGTTATCTCCCCTTCTACTTTTTTTTGTTTGTTACTCTTCTGTAACACCTCTAATCTTCTGGCGTTCATATGACCTTATGCAGTTGCGAGCGCCGTAAAACCTCTACTAAAACAAAAACAACAAATTACAATTTTCATTTTTTTGTTTGTTCCAATTTATTTTGGTAACATTTTGTGTGGTTTTCAACATACTGACTTGAAATTTGACACGCAGCTTGTTTATTCCAAACTAACAAACAGCTGACTAGTTTTTATGATGATAGCTACTTCATTTTTAGTGTTAGGGGCTTTTTTCCTCTGTGCCCCCCCCCCTTAAATTTTCCAGCAGGTGGTTGGCGGGTGCTCTGGTGTGGGTGGGTTGCCCCTTTTTTCCTATCAAACATCTGTCGTCCTGATCTCTCCCCCTTCTTTTTTTATGTTTGTTACTCTCTTGTAACACTTCTAATCTTCGGCACTTTCTATATGACCTTATTGTGTTGCAAGTGCCGTAAAACTCTTACTAGAACTAAAACATAGATTTTCCACTCTTTTTGGACCAGCTGCCCCTGAGGACCTGTGAACCGGTTACTAATGGTCCTGTCAACGTGAAAACTAGCTAGCTGTCAAATTTCATTTCTTCTCTCCTCCCTAGTGGTTAGGCTACCGAACTCGTAATCGTGAGATTGCGAGTTCGGGGGTTCGAGCCTCAGCTCGGTCCGACGTTGTGTCCTTGGGAAAGGCACTTTACACGAACTTCCCACTTGGCTCGGTCCTATCGGAGACGGACGTTAAACTAGGAGGTCCCGCCCCTTAAATAACCTAATAGTGTTGATAGGGGCGTTAAACCTATACCATTTCACCATTTATTTCTCCTCCCTTTTTGCTGTTTAAAAAAGTCAGCTCGGTCGCATAGTATTGAAATGTTTTTAAAGAAAAGAAAATTGTCTACAAAAGTAAGTAAATTTGTCAAGAAAATTCAAGATGGCTGCCGTATCCATGGTAACCGGTGAATTTATGAATTGTTTGAAGGTATAGATTTTCATTCCTCCACTTAAAGTGTCAACATATAATAATATATATATTATATACCATTACTAGCTTCACAGGTTCTCCGGTTAAAGAGTTAGTTGGCGAGGTAGCAAAAACCCCTAATAACCTCTAGGCCACGAGAGCCCCCAAAACGCTTACTAAAACTATACATCTATATCTACTTGTTTGAACTATATAATAAAAATATATATATATATATATATATATATATATAATTATTTTTTTTAGGTGATCCGGGTTTGGTTTTGCAACCGTCGTCAGAAGGAGAAGCGCATCAACCCTCCCAGCTCGAGCTTCAGCCACTCGCAGCACCTCCACCTGGTGGGAAGCTCCACCCCGACATCGGGCCTGAGCTCGCTCCCCGCCCCCGGCTCGGCGACGGACACCGCTCGCCTGGACTCGTCATCATTATCGGCCCGGGGCCACGGCGGCGGCGGGCTGGGAGCGGGAGCCGGCGGGATCCTCCTGGCCTCCACGCAGCAAGAGCAGCTGCAGGAGCTGCTGAAACAGCACCAGCAGCAACAGCAGCAGCAGCAGAAGCTGCACCTCCAACAGCAACAACAGCATCAGCAGCAGCAACAGATGGTGGTGGATCAGAAAGTGGGTCACCACCACAACGTCTCGCCGCCCTCCTCCCCGTCCCCCTACACGGCCACGGAGCTGAACATCATCGTAACCTCCATCAACAACAACAACAGCACGGGCAACAACCAAGGCGGCCCGGCCGCTGACGGCCTCCTGTCTGTGACCGACGCGACCTCCTCCTCCTCCGCCATCGGTTTACAGTCGGCTTCCGCTGCCGCTACGATCTCCAACGGCAGTCTCCTCTTCTCCACCTCTCTCCTCGCGGCGGGATCAGAACCTCTGGGATCCGCCTCCGATGGCAACAACTCCCCCCCTCCCCCTCCACTACCACAACCAGCCTCCTCGGACCTCAGTGGCCTCATCGGGGCGAAATCTATGACCTTCACCCTGCCCAAATCGGAACCGTCGGTGGCGGCGGGGATGGTCTCTGTACCCTCCAACTCCAACCCTTCAGCTCTGGCCCAGTCGTTAAGGTTTTGCCCCGTGACATCGTCCTTGTTCAAAACCAGCAGCACTCCAACGTCCAATGGGGCAGCTTTTTAGAGAACTCGCGCGCGGCGCAAGTTTAACGCTTTGGAGTCACACAGACTGCACTACAAAATACCCCCGTCTGGTCACCCAGCCAGGAGTACAAAATACCCCCGTCTGGTCACCCAGCCAGGAGTACAGAATACCCCATCTGGTCACCCAGCCAGGAGTACAAAATACCCCATCTGGTCACCCAGCCAGGAGTACGGAATGCCCCCATCTGGTCACCCAGCCAGGAGTACAGAATACCCCCATCTGGTCACCCAGCCAGGAGTACAGAATACCCCCATCTGGTCACCCAGCCAGGAGTACAGAATACCCCCATCTGGTCACCCAGCCAGGAGTACAGAATACCCCCATCTGGTCACCCAGCCAGGAGAGTGACTGCAACGAACTTCTCGGGCCTGGCGCAGAACTGCGACTGCACCAGGTGACCGGAATGGAGAATTTACACCGTCGCATTATTGCTCCAGGTGACCGGAACGGAGAATTTCCACCGTCCCTTTATTTCGCCAAGTGACCACAAAGTGTTTAGTGTCTACAAGTCTAGGCCGTGGAATATACTTGAACAAAGTATATAATATATCTATCTTGTGTGTTGTGTTTTTGGAGAATGGGGCGAAAAGTCGGCCCCCATATCATTTTGAGCCACAGGACGATAAAGTAAGAAAAATAAATATTTTGACCAAAATGTGTTTCCATTTTTTAAAAACCCCAACCCAACAGAATAATAGTTACACAATTTCTGATCCTTAATTTAAAAGGATGTTCATGTATTTGACATCTGAGTATTTTATTTGGAATCATTGGGATGGTAGGGTCTTGATAGTGCATGTGTAGGTAAAACTTTGAAGTTTTATTTTCTAGATATTGCCTCGGCACTTATGTGACCTTATTGAATTGTGTGTTGCAAGTGCCATAAAACGCTTACTAAAACAAACAAAAAAGATATTGATTCTTTAAACCTTACCCTCACAAAGCATGCTAGATGTATCTTAAAAAGATTGCAAAAGATATTTGAAATATTTAGAAACCACCTTGTTTAGCATTAAATTGTCAATCAGAAACATTATACATAATATTCTGAAAATTTTCGAAATCCGACTTTTCGTGCATCTCTTCAGACAAACACACATTATGTATAGATATATATATATATATATATATATGTATATGTATATTGGAATTCACAAAATTTGTGACTGTGTTATTTTGGTTATGAGTGACATTTCTGTGCTTTGCCGCCTTTAATTTTGGAATTCTCAGACAAGTTTTGATTCTTGATACATTCAAATTTTCTGTGTTGCTTTATGTATATATTTTGGTCGCTTTTAAGCACAAGGGGGCTATCCCGAAAAATACTGTTTTGAGAAAATCAAAGGTAAAGTTTTCGGACCCTTGTACAGTCTCTTTCAAAGACAAGAAGAGTTTTCTCTAGAACCAAGCAAATATACACACCAATCAAACCAAACTTCTGCTATAGGTAGGGCAATGCTCACCTTAGGTGTTGGTCAAGAATTCTGGAAACCCCTTAAAAGCGACCTTTATTTTGTAAGGAAGTCTGTAAGTTGACGGATAGAAGATTTACTAAGGAGACAAAAGACCAATGTGTTTGTTTTTTGTTTTGTGTTTGTTTCTTTCTACAACTGCCAAATAAGGAGAGGAATAAATGGGGGACATTGGGATGAAGTCAGGCGCTTGTCAAAATAATGAAATCAAAGAAACAAGACATTTTTCCGTCCGTTCGGTATTTTTAAAAATCAATTTTTTAACTCTTTTTTTTTTTTCAACTTCTCTTTAATGTTTATTGAAAAAACATTTCTGTGGGGATTGTATTGGAAAACGTTGACCAAAGGCTTAAAAAATGTTAACTTGCAGTACTTCAACTTCAAGGCCCTCAGGTTTTGAAAGTCGCGCCAAACTTTGGTGGCCATTTTCTCACTTATTTGACCTCTGACATTAGGCGTGTCTCGCAATTCTCGAGATGTTTCACTGACACGCCTTCTTCACTAGCTAATATCTCAACATCTTTTCCAGACAGATGTGCTTATTTTTTTTCCTGAGGTTCTCAGATGGGGGGTTTGTGGCGTCGGTAGCCTAGTGGTTAGGCTCTCGGGCTCGCAACCGTAAGGTCGTGGGTTCGAATCCCGTCAAGGGCCCGACGTTGTGTCCTTGGGAAAGGCACTTTACACGAATTTTCCTCACTTAACCCAGGTGAGAATGGGTACCCGGCTATAGACAGCGAAAGATCTTGTCAGTTTGTTAGTGTTTGAGCGCTTAATCGGCTGCTCGCACTGTATGCTTCCCGAGAAGCTGAGAATGTTTCGGAGTGTACTATGGTCTGCTGGGGTAATAATATAGTGTAAAGCGCATAGAGCCTGCTGTTGAGCGGGGATATGCGCTATACAAATGCTATCTATTGTTTGCGGGTGCTCTGATGTGGTTTGCTCCTTCTTCCCTAAATCAAACATCGATGGTCCTTAAGTCCCCTCCTTTTTTGTGCGTTAACATTACTCTCTTGTAACACCTCTAATCTTCGGCGCTTATATGACCTTATTGTGTTGGATGTGCTGTAAAACTCTTACTAAAACTAAACAGGGTTCTCGCATCCGCCGCTTCCGTTCCGTCATGAGCTGACATCGGACCCGCAATTCCGCGTGCCCAAAAATTGATGACGAGCGCCTGATTTCCCCCGAGTTGTTTCACAAATGTGTATTATTTGAGTCCGTACCTCAAGGCCTCTGAGTAGATGCATGGAATCAAAAGTTTGCAATCCAGGGGGGGGGGGGGGGGGGCTTTAACATCATTATTTTATGCTTAGTAGAATTGTAGACGGGCTGATTCATCAATGTCATGCTCATAACTGTGCCTGAACTGCATACGGGGAATCTACTAGTGTTTCTTTATAATCTATCTAGAGAGATAATGGGTAGGATCTCTCTCTGTCTATCTATCTCTCTTTCTCTCTCTCTCCCTCTCTCTCCCTCTCTCTCTCTCTCTCTCTCTCTCTCTCTCTCTCTCTCTCTTTTGTTTCATTTTGAGGTTAAAAGGTCTGATATTTTTCATTTACCGGAAATGTGAGGACTTGTTAAAAAGTAAGTTCTCTTTAAAAATCTGGATTCAAGGGTAGCTTTCTAAAGCTTGCTTGCACAATAATAATTATGTTTATGGTATAGCATGAGTATTTATTTATAATTAATGTATTTCTATTTCATATATGGATGCATCTCCACTGCTATATTTGTAAGACTTCCGTCATGTGCCACTTTTTAGAATGACATATCCCTATCTCAGAATTACAAACTTTTATCTGCTCAGGACCTAGTTTTGAGGAAATTTTATCTTGATGAAGACTCCATTTGACCTGAACAAATTGGTAACAATAGGGAAAGATCAGGGAAACATTGTAAATTTTTTGAGAGCATCCGAGCAAAAGAATGAATGGAGGACCATGATCACCGATGTCTGTTGCAAATCTGGCACTGGACGATGAAAGACTCCAAATAATCGTAAGATTTTGATAGAGCAGATAGAACATTTGGTTTAATAAAATAACAAAAAAATGACATTTCTATTGCGCTCAACCCCGATTAAAGTACACAGGCTCTGAGCGCTTTACAATACAATACTACAGTAACACAAAACGTTGTGTTCTGACCAAAAGAAAATCTCTCAAAATATTCATCTAATTAATTTTTAAAAAAAAGTGACTTCAGCTGACTTATGAATGAATCAAAGGATTTGATCTCTCGTATAGTACTTGGCAAAGCATTCTAGATCTTGGGGCCTTTGTATTCTCACCTCATGCTTGGTCTTACTTACTCAAAGCGGCCTAAAATATTGGACAGAATTGAAGAGTGGTTTTCTGAAACTCGGTGGACTAGTGGTTAGGCTCTCGGACTCGCTACCGTAAGGTTGTGGGTTCGATTCCCGTCAGGGGCCCGACGTTGTGTCCTTGGGAAAGGCACTTTTCACAAATTTTCCTCACTTCACCCAAGTGGGAATGGGTACCCGGCTATAGACAGCGAAAGATCTTGTCAGTTTGTTAGTGTTTGAGCGCTTCATCAGCTGCTTGCACTGTATTCTTCCCGGGAAGCTGAGAATGTTTTGGAGTGTTCTATGGTCTGCTGGGGTAATGATATAGTGTAAAGTGCATAGAGCCTGCTGTTGAGCGGGGATATGCGTTATACAAATGCTATTTATTGTTATTATTATTATTTTGATGAGCGCCTGATTTCACCACAAAGCTATGCACATGATACATAATACAAATGTATGTGTTTAAGCGTCCTGATGAAATCAGGCGCTCGTCAAAACTGACGTACAGAGTTTTGAAAAGTGGGTGGTTGGCGGGTGCTCTGGTGTGGTTTGCTTCTTCTTTCCTATCACGAAACATCTATTGTCCTTATAAATCTCTCTTCCTTTTTTGTTTGTTACTCTCTTCTTGTAACACCTCTAATCTTGGACACTCATATGACCTTATTGTGTTGCAAGTGCCGTAAAACTCTCACTAAAACTATAAAAGAGTTTTGGAAAACCACTCTTTAATTGCGTAGTTCTGAGGTAATGATTTGTCGGAATCTTACACTTAGCAGTGGATTTGTTGTTTACAGCGATTGTTGTCGGGTCAAAAAGAGGTACCGTAAATGCCATTTTCTCTCGTGTCCATTGCTTTAATTAACTTGTACCAGCTTTTCAATGTATTTTTGTTGAGATTTGTTGTTCAACTTTACACGAACGAAGGGGGTAATTCCTTCCAAACTTTCTCCACTTATATATATATATATATAATGTTTGTGGAAACTGTTGGCCGAGAGGGGTCAAACCGGTGTACCGTACAGTGGGAATCTGAACATGTTTTGGGGAAGAAAAACCCCCCAAATAATTTATCTTTCTTGTTTGGAGAAGATTTGTTAAATTTCATAAATTTGACACGCACACACACACACACACACACACACACACACACACACACACACACACACACACGCACACTCACAAACACACACACATACATACACACACACTCACACCTCCCAAATCTACTGTTGAATTTTTGTATTTCATAATTTTGACACACACACACACACACACACACACGCACACACACATACACACGCACACACACACACACACACACACGCGCGCGCACATT